ACTCAACCATAATTTGATCACCTTCAAATGATCTATGACGAGATATATATTTGTTTAAAAGAGCCTTACCAATGGAGCTATAAAAATATGTCCTATAACGTCAGTAACTCGGTGCTCCGGTACAACATGCCCAATTGAGACGAGTCGTAGTTACATGACGCAATATTTACCAATAAACACTATGTGGTATAAACAAAATATTTCTATATGAACTATAATAATAGTTTGTAGTACTCAAGAATGGACAAAAACTAATCTAGTACTTTGGATATTAAAAACGCTGACAGAATCTCAATTGCCAAAACGGATATATGCGTAGATCAAATTGGTATTTGAGTACTAGATAGATGAAGTTGTACGACATCGTATTATAATAGTAGAAACAACCCAGGTGACGATTCAAAACCACGCGAACACGTGTATCCCTCCTCCGGTGGTGATAATAATACATAAATGGATTTCTATAGCATTTTAATTCCTAAACAATAATAATGTTAATTACTATAACAGCGAAAAACTATATACTAGTATGCAAGTTATCGCAAAACATGTGTAAATTATCACGCGTAGTATTTCTTCACAAAGTTAAGTTGGGGTGCATATAGTTTCCCGTTTGTTTTCTTTAGAAATTAAATAATTTGTGTTACCATGATTTCCCGTCAACCGATCAATGTTCATATAGCCAACCGATTTTCATGTAGCGGAGCAATTTTCAAGTAGCGGAGCGATTTTCATGTAGCCGACCGATTTTTAAGTAGCCAACCGACTTTTTTCCAAGTAGGCGGAGCGATTTTCAATAAGCGGACGGGTTTTCATGTAGCCAACCGACTTTCATGTAGCAGAGCAATTTTCAAGTAGTGGAGCGATTTTCATGTAGCCGACCGATTTTCATATAGCCGGCCGATTTTCGTGTAGCGGAGCAATTTTCAAGTAGCCGACCGACCTTTTTTTCAAGTAGCGGAGCGATTTTCAAATAGCGGACGGATTTTCATATAGCGGACCAATTGTATATATGAGCCATCGTATTAATATTTAAATTAACTTGTGGCAGAGATTAGTGGGACGTTCCCTGGCGACTACCTAGCTTAATGATAAAACCCCATAGTCTCGGCGACGGAGAATGGTAAAATGTATAAAAGTTATTTTAAAATCACGCCCAGTATGTCTGAGAAAATTACCTAAACACCTTTTTACCAATAAATTTCGTCGTTCGCTATCTTTTTCCCAAACTTCCCCGGCACTGCGAGCAGTGGCGGTAAAAACTAGCCTGGGCAGACTCGAGGCACCCCGCGTCACCCCGAGGCGACGACGCGAACGCACTCTTGTGCAATCTCCTTCCCAGAGGTCGTTGATAAGTAACGCGTATCGAAATGTTCGGAGTTTGAGGTCTGTGCTGGGATAGCGCATAGGGCACAGTCGAAGCAACAACGTAGATGGAAACATTTCAGCGATTTCTGTACAAAATAATCCTCAACGAAACTTATAAATAATACATAGGAATACAGTCCCTAAAATTGTTTATATTGAAAAACAATTTAACCGACAACCAGTTTGGCGCTGAAGTCAGAGTTCTATATGAACAATAATTTACTTAATACTATTATGGTTTATAACAGGTATTCAAAGTCACCACGTGTCTTGTCGGACGGAAACAAGAGCAGTGTTCGTGTTCTGGTTCTTGCTTCATACAGAAGTGGTTCGACATTCGTCTTAGAGCTCTTCAAGCAAAATGAGAAATTCTTTTCTTTGTTTGAACCGGGTCATGTTTTGGCGGCATGCTTGCCAAATAACGAGAAAAAGAAAACTATATTTTCAGCCAGGATAATAGAATTGCTTCATGATATTTATACGTGTACATTTCAATCGTTGTATGCACGCTGTTACATTACCGCCGGATCTGGGTCATTTAGTGTCAAAAATGCAATGTCACGAACATCGGGACTTCAGGAAATTCATGTAGACGACGTCATTGAATACTGCAACAAACGTGAACATATAGCAGTGAAAACCATACGAGTGGAATATTTGAATGACGTAGTGCCTCTCATTCGCGATTCGGACGTAAACCTGAAAGTATTACACCTTGTAAGGGACCCGAGAGGAAAGTTCTTGTCAATTAGGAAATTGGAAAAAGAAAAAATCCCATTAGAAAAAGTGATGGAGATGGTAAACCGATATTGCAATGTTTGGGCTAGAAATATAGCAATCGGAAATGACGCAAGAAAGTGGCTACAAAATAATTATAAAACTATCAGATATGAGGATTTGGCACAACATCCAATCACCACAGCAACAGAAATATATCAGTTTTTAGGACTGGAACTGCCAGATAATGTACGTGTTTGGTTGCGCGATAATACGGACCACAACAGTGGCGGGGCGTATGGTACAAGTCGCAAGTCTAATATTACATCAACAGCATGGAGAAAGAATCTTTCTTTTAACGAAGTACAACAGGTGCAGTCATTTGAGAGTTGTCAACAAATGATGAAATGGGCAGGTTACAAAATCGCTAATAGTCATGAAGAGATGATGAACCTGAATGTGAGTTTGGTTGTACCTAATATAAAATTAAACTGGACTAGGATAGGTACTAGTCCCGAATATACATATTCAGGCAATGCCAAATCTACATGGATCGAAGTCATATAGATTAAGGTGACACATATTTTCCGTGGAAATTTACGTTAAATCATGTGAAATTATGCGGTGTCGACCATAACTGAGTTAAATGTGATTGTCCAATGTTAGGTTTATTTGAGGCACATTTTCAACTGTTTACATTATCCATGCAAGACGTGTCAGCACGGAAAATGATATATACATTCGTGTATTCGTTAGGACATGGTGTAGAACAATGTGTAACGCTCAATACTTTAATTTTCAGATTACATTTTTGATCAAATATTGCGATTAGGCCTTCGAGCTGCGATCCTGTTCTTCCTTGTCAAATGTCATTGTTTCATATGTTTAGTTTTCATTTAATCCACGAGATAAAATATAAACTTAATTGTATTTTTGCCTTCACGTTGGCGGAAAACATTTCTTTCAATCCGTATTATTTCAATTACGTCTCACAATTTTAATTTTCCTGTACTTAAATTACTTACTATACTTTCATGTCACGTTGTTATTTTCATGTCACGTCATTATATTCATTAAAGTTCTTTGCAGACGCTGTCAGTCACTCGAATGCAGATGATCAGCCTTATCTTTCTCTTTTCAATACTGCTTCAGTAGTCTATTTTAAGAAATTGTATTAACCAATATAATAAATATAGTACGATAGTATTTATAATCATCACACCGAGTCATACAGTGGAATATTGTTAATTTTTGCAGATCAAATTGTAAGGGGTGTTGAGACTATAACAAATCTGTTTCTTCAAACGCTCGATTATACATGCACTTCTGAGAGCATATTTCAATGTCAGAATGTTCTAAAATGTGTATTATACGTCATATGCTTTTGCTGAGAGTTTAATAAAGTTCGAGCTTGTGGCGGTGGCTTCGGCTATTAACGATCATTAGACAATAGTTGACACCAACATAACTGTCACACTATGATAAAGAATTTATGTCTGCAACTTCATTCCAAAGTACTTTGGTATATTTTATTTGTTGGTTGTTGTTCAAAACTCAGAAACCTGTGTGTGAACAGGGAAACAAACTACGTTTTGGTTTAAAATGTTGTCTACGAATATTTGACATCGTTCCAGACGCAACTCCCCTTACAATTTTTGTCTGCAAAATTAACTATTCTATTATATTATAAAACTGGGGGGTCTTACTCTGTTATTATAAATACTGTCGTACTATATAAAATTGTTTAAAACTTTTGAATAAAGACAAACGAAGACGAACTGTACTGTATTGTATTGTTATTGCAATATTATAGGTTTGGAGGTGTGTGAATGCATTAATGTGTGGATAATGTGCACAGGCTTCTTAGCGTTTTCAAACAACGCTGTGTAGATATTGATAGCCTAAACTAGTCGCAAGCAATTCATACACCCAGCTAATTAGACAGGTATCCACTATTTAAAATCATCTAATTCTCGAGTCTGATATTTCTCTTAATGGTAATACATAATAACTCAGAACCGTTTTAAGTAGATTCCCGCACATCTGCCACTCACTCAAAGCTGAAACCGGGCGCTGAGACAACGTTCAAACGTCTTTTTGTAATCTTGGGTAATAATGCTGACAAAAAAGTATTTTTTTATGAACAACAACAAACATTTTCATATTTATTTTATTCTTTCGTCTTCTACAGCGAACAAAACTGAAGAACCTGAGATTCAAACTAAAATATTATAGCGACATTGTCGTCACAATTGTTAAAACGAAGTTATGTGACGGCGTTGTATCACAGTTCGAGGTTTTATGATTGCGAGTCAGGTTATTCGCTTTTCAGTCATATTTATTTTCATTGCCAACAACACCGGCTTCAGCACATTCGAAAGCATTTCACAATCACCATGCGACTGTCTGAGACATACCTGTATACAGGATGATTGGATGCATGTATCTCAAATTCTATTGACAACACGACACATTGACTGTACTCAGGAGTCTAAAAATAAAACATATACAATGGGTTGTTGCTAAGTATCCAAACATGTGAGTTTTTCATTCATGCAGCAAATAGTATTATAAAAGTACTTTCCCCTTATATTGGAAGAGTTACCAGAGTAAGTTGCTGAAGAATGCATAAGGGAAGGCGACGACAACTTTGAGACGGAGAAATCTTTTCAGCCATCCACGACGACAATCACCACGACTTCTGGGTCAGGGTCGCAAAAAGCCTATGGAACGCAGTTTATGTGTTACAAACACAGCCTAAGTTTTATTTGGAAAAGAAATTAACAGAACATTGGAAATTGTATTTTGGAGGGTTGTTACGATAAGATACTTCCTCTATAACATCGACTAAGATTGTACGAATCGCCATGTTGATATCACATGAGCAAATTGTGTGGGTGTGTGTTCTAAATTCACAGTAATTTTCTGACGAGAATATCGGAATCCGACCACACCAAAATGAGTCAGTTATTTCTAAGATATAAATCGTACGTTCTTCAAAATTATCAAATATAACTGCAAGCAATGATCAGGGTGGTGATATATATAGACCATATGTATTATGGCCTTACGTCAACAAAATTATAGCACCAATTGCATTTTCGTGTCTGTAACAGTACTAAAGGTATTACAGTTAGACTATTACTTATTATCACATTGATCGCAACTAAAAACTAACCAGGAATGCGCATTAAACCAGGGCATCCATGTACCAAGTTTCATTGAAGTTTGTTGGATAGTACATGGATAGTAATTGTGCAAATTAGGTAATTAATATGAATGGGTATTAATCCTTGACATCAATGTACCATTTTCCATAGTAATTCGTACTTGAAATATCATAGTTATGTGATGATGAGTAATTGACTAATCATTATGCAACGTAGGTAATTAGTATGCTTGGATTTTTACCCAAAACTAATCAGGTCTGTGCATTATCCTAGAGCTTCTATGTACCATTTTTATCAAAATTCAATGCCAGTTCTTTGGATATCAGTGAAATAGTCATGTAACAGCTAAACATTAACTGTCTTGCAAATTAGGTGATTAATATGTATGGTTTAACTCAAAACCTAATCAAATCTGTGCTTCATCCCAACGCATTTATGTATAAAGTTTAATAAAAAAAACACCATATGGTTCTTGAAATATCAGTGGAACAGACGGACACACATACACGTCTTACCTTTGTTGTGACGACACGCATTGCAACTTTTAATATAGTTGAATTTACTTTTAATATAGTTGCGTTATATTTGGATTAAAACGTGACTCTATGTGAGATTGCGATTTAATTGGAGTTTAATTAAACTCAATTACATTGCAAGTAAGTATAGAATTGTGTTCATACAGTTTAATTGAATAAAAAGGCAACAAAGTAGGAATAAAGTCATACATCCGGTGACTTAACATAGAATTGTTTGCGGAGCTTAGGTTTAGTAAAGGGGCAAGTATGGTACAGTTATATAAATATTAATATAAAGTCTGCCATACCTTCCCCTTTAATAAGCTATGCAAACTTGACTTAAATTCGATTACATATTAATATAAAATATGAACAATTGTGAGGGTCGTCACTAGATAGATTTGTCACCTTGGTAGATATAAAGTTAAAGGGAAGTCATCACATAGTTGATAAGACAAACGTATACAAACACACACTAACTGCAAAGATTCCCATCGTGTGCTTGGCACAAGGGAGTCAAAAACGGCACAAGATTCAAAGACGCAGAACGGACGGGAATTTAAATCTAGGAAGGCTCCCCATGATGCTATGACGTCATCGGTTTTACTCCAGAAGCATCAAGCGCACAGTTGCCAGCGATTGGGGGATTAACACATGTGCGTGAACTGGTGAGCATGGTCTGTGCAAACCCTCACTAGCATAAACACCCCAGAGATGAGTATACCACGGAATTGGTACCAGTTTCACGACATATACATGTACGAGCGTTTGTTTGTCATTCATAAGCAGAGCATTCCATTCTGTAACAAGTCATTGTCAATGACACGTCCCCGTTCCGTTCATATTTGAGTGACATATACATTCAAAGCAGATCATGACCGAAATGCACCTGCATATGTACAACACATTGTTCTAAATCTGAACAAAATCCATCCATGCATGACTGAGATCAGGTTCCGGAATTGTGAAAATACGTGATTTTGATGCATTTTCGGCCTTAAAATGGCCATCATTCAGCTATTGTTAAGAGGATCATGAAACAAATGCACATATCTATTTGTGACATGATGTACTATGTGTATGTGAAGTTTGAACTTGATCAATCCAGACATGTCTTGGATACGGATCCAGAACTGAATTTATTAAAACAAAATGGCCGCCAGTCGGCCATTTCGAACTTGATCCGAAAAACAATGACGTGCATCAAGGTCCTATTATGTTTAATGTATGTACCAAATTTGAACAAAATCCGTCCATGCATAACTGAGATCCGGGTTCGGAATGGTGAAAATGTGCGATTTCAATGCATTTTCGACCTTAAAGAGGCCGCCATTTGGCTATCGTTAATGAAATCATGAAACAAATGCACATACATATTTGTGACATGATGTACCTTGTGT